CAGTCAACCCCTTCCTAGTGGGAGTGCCATGCTGTTGCCTTCGGGCTTCAGCCAAATGGGCAGGCACGACCGGGGCAGTAGCACTGTCTCTTAGAAAACCGGCGTGAAGTGACTCAATAGGTTCGCCTTATTGTACTCGCGTTTCGTGCGGTGAGGGAGACTCCCGGAGCCCATCCCCCCCCATATGAAATATGAAGGTGCAGAAAAAACAGAATCTACCCCAGGGGGGTACCACACGCGCTCGCGGTGGAGAATCCCCCTCTGGGCGTCCAACACCGAGACACTCAGCACCCGGTGGTGGACGCACAGGCTGCCCTTCGTATTCTGGGGGGGGGGCAATTCTGCGCTCAACAAAAACAGTTATCGTTCTCGGGGCAAACGGAGCAATTCAACAAAGGCACCCCCGTCCACGCTCGGCGTGGACTTCACAAATGTTAGGGGGCTCAATTCCAATATCAACGCTGTCCACTACCATTTAGAGACTGCGAAGCCGGCCTTGCTCTTTCTTACCGAGACTCAGATTTCCTCCCCGGCTGATACTTCCTACCTCTCCTACCCGGGGTACAAATTGGAACATTCATTTGTGCCGCGGGCGGGAGTTTGCGTGTACGTCAGAGAGGATATCTGTTCTCGTCGCCTCGGGACGCTTGAAGGAAGGGACCTATCTAACCTCTGGCTGCGCGAAGACTGCGATGACATGATAGCGGAAATACCGAAACTGACCGACTCATTGAGCACATCCAAATGGCTTCAGATTCCCTGCTCGAAAGGGTTCCTACCGCTGAAATCGTGATACTTGGCGATTTTAACGCCCACCATGCCGATTGGCTCGGCTCTGAAACCACCGATCACGCGGGAAGATCCTTTCACGACTTTGCTTTAGCCTACGACCTGACACAAATGGTCCCTGCGATTACGCGAATACCAGATGTGGATGGTCATAAGCCCTCTTTGTTGGACCTTCTGCTGACTTCACATCCGGAGAACTATCAAGTCTCTGTTGACCCGCCATTGGGTTCATCGGATCATTGTGTGGTCCGGAGTACTGTGCCATCTACGCGCCCATCACGGCCCCACTTTATGGGTTGTCGCCGTATTTGGCACTATAAGTCAGCAGATTGGGACGGGATGCGGTCTTTCTTTGCGTCCTACCCTTGGGGGCCTATGTGCTTTTCGCCGGAAGCTCCAGATTCCGTCGCCACCTCTGTAGCCGAAGTGGTTCTACAGGGCATGGAACTCTTTATTCCATTTTCTGCGGTGCCGATCGGTGACAAGTCTCAGCCCTGGTTTAAACGTTCTTGCAAGGCGGCCTCGCGTCGAAAGCGAGAATGCTTTAAGGCATGGGCGGAAGCGGCGAAATCTCGTGATGCCAATACCAGCGCACTTAAAACAGCATATAACTCAGCCTCCAGGTCCTTCAAACGGGAAATCACTAAGGCAAAGTCAGAGCACATTGCCAGATTTGGCGAGAGATTGGCCCAGCTCCCTTCAGAGACTCGAGCCTTCTGGTCTCTCGCCAAAGCTGTCCAAGGGAATTTTTGTCAGCCCGCCATTCCGCCACTGCACAGGGAGGATGACTCTCTGGCCCACACTGCGAAGGAGAAGGCCGACCTTTTGGGCTGTCTATTCGCGTCCAACTCGACTTTGGATGTCCGAGGGAGATCACCACCGACCATTTTGCGGTGTGATTCTTCGATGCCGGAAATCACATTCCGGCAACGTGTTGTCCGCAAAGCACTATCTTCCTTGGACATTCATAAGTCGAGCGGGCCGGATGGTATCCCCCCAATTGTGCTGCGTACTTGTGCTCCTGAGTTGGCTCCGGTCTTAACGCGCCTTTTCCGGTACCTGTACTCGCTCGGCACTGTCCCGAAGTGCTGGAGGACCGCTTCGATACATCCGATCCCTAAAAAAGGCGATCGCTCTGATCCGTCCAACTATCGCCCAATAGCTATAACCTCCTTGTTCTCCAAAATAATGGAAACCATTATTAATTGCCAGCTCTTGTGGTATCTAGAGGGCCACCAGTTGATTAGCGATTCTCAGTACGGCTTTCGTCGTGGTCGCTCAGCTGGTGACCTCCTTGTATACCTTACCCATAGGTGGGCAGAGGCAATTGAGTCCAAGGAGGAGGCGCTGGCGGTAAGTTTGGACATAGCGAAAGCCTTCGATCGGATGTGGCACAGAGCACTGCTCTCGAAGCTTCCAGCCTATGGGCTTCCCGAGAAATTATGCGATTGGATCTCCAGCTTTCTGGCCGATAGGAGCATCAAGGTCGTCATCAACGGAGCATGTTCCGACCTTAAACCCGTGAACGCTGGGGTCCCACAAGGCTGTGTTCTATCCCCGACCCTATTTCTTTTGCATATCAATGATATGTTGCAACTTAGCAACATTCATTGCTATGCGGATGACAGCACTGGGGATACTTTTTACACTGGCCGGGTAGGTATTTCTCGGGCAGTTGTTGATGAGTATCGGAACAAACTTGTGTCTGAAGTCGAAACTCTACTACGTGGAGTCTCAGACTGGGGCAGACAAAACCTAGTCCAATTTAACCCCAAGAAGACATAAGTTTGCGCGTTTTCCGCTAAAAAAACACCCTTTGTCGCTACTCCTCTTTTCGAAAACACTCTTCTTAAAGTCACAGCCAGCATTGGAATACTTGGCGTTGACATATCGAACGACGTTCAGTTTCGCGGTCACTTGGAGGGAAAGGCTAAATTAGCCTTCAAAAAGCTTGATGTGCTCAGCTAGGCGAGGCGGTACTTCACTCCGGGCCACCGCATGCAACTATATAAAGCGCAAATTCGGCCCCACATGGAGTACTGCTCTCACCTCTGGGCGGGGGCTCCCCAGTACCAGCTCCTTCCACTTGACCGTATACAACGCAGAGCGGTTCGAATCGTCGACGACCAATCCCTCTCCGAGCGGCTTGATCCTTTGGCGTTGCGTAGAGATGTGGGGTCACTCTGCATCTTCTACCGCATTTACCATGGAGAGTGTTCAGAGGAGTTGTTCGGATTAATTCCTGCAGCTGAGTTTCATCATCGGACGTCGAGACAGAATACGAAATTCCACCCGTATCACCTCGACGTCCGCCGTTCCACAACTGAGCGTTTTTCAAGGCAGTTTTTGCCGCGCACCACCATTATGTGGAATCAGCTGCCCACTGAAGTATTTCCGAACCAATTCGACTTAGGGTCCTTCAAGAAAAGAGCGTACCAATTCTTAAAAGGCCGGCAACGCACTCGCGAGCCCTCTGGCATTGAGAGTGTCCATGGGCGGCGGTATCACTTAACATCAGATGAGCCTCCTGCCCGTTTGCCCCCCGTTCTAAAAAAAAAAAAAAATTTGGCATTCTGATAAGGTCCCTCCTTGTAGTTTATTGTTTATCAGAATGCCAAATCATAAAATGACTGCTTCACGACTGATTTGAGCGCGACCGCCGCTGCGAAAACCGCTGTGTGAGTTCGAAAAGTTAGTCATAAGCTTGCTTCACCTTGTAATTTTGTTTGACCCTTAACCTTAGACCAATAAACGGGACAGTTATAACTCCACTTCTAGTTTAATTTTGAGAGATCGAGCCCTCATATAGGCAGCGGCACGTAAGTCTAGCGCTGGCCGATACGTGGAGGGGATTGCTGCGCATGTGTACTGTCGCGCACGCAATACATTATATGCCACTTTGATTAATGATTACCTAAATAACGATATTAAGCTGAACGAAATGTGAAGGATAGCTGCTGCGCATGATTACTGTCGCGCATGTAAGTAATATCTATAAGATGTAATAAGACAGTAAAAAAGTGTCTGTACATAGAACGTATTTCCAAAAAAGACCTAAGATATTTTAACAAGTTTATGGGATGTAGAAAAATAAAAACATTATCTTTTAATTTGTAATCTTTTATTAATCTGAATCAGAGAACAGTATCACGCCTTCAATGGTCTCGCGACAAGGCCTTTTGCTTACTGAGGGCCCGGGCTCAGGACTGCTTCGTTCGTCGGCACTAGCGTCATCTTCATTGCTATCCTCGGAACTATCTCCATCGACATGAATAATGAATTGTTCTGTTACCAAATCCACGACATGATCACTCTTTGCATATTGCTCTTCTATATTTAATTTTATGTTTCCTGCCTTAATGATTTCGGCAGTTTGTTTTATCTGGCTCAAATTTACAATGTTGCTGTCCGAATGACTGAACAAAGTATTTGTAGCTTCGTCAATCTCACTTTGGATTTGTTTCAAAGAATCAATTAATTCGTTAGATTCCCTTTTTAAAAAACAATTCACGTCATAAACCATTTTCCTGGCTTGTCTTTTCAAAACAGTATTTGTTCTAGGCATATTCACTTTAAAGTCACAAACAAACTTAAAAACAAATAACAAACAACAAAACACTAACAAATTCAAACGTAACAAAAAACAACAAAACGTAACAACAGTAACAATAATATTAATGACGCGACTGTACACGGGATGTGCGCGGGGCATCGTATCGGTGCGGAGGACGGAATGCGACTGGAGAGCCAATCGACGCTACGCGCGCCCGCTCTTCATTCCGCTAGCCCCCCTCAGGTACCTTATTTTTTACTTTTGTGCAATAACGGTCAGCGCTAGAGTTTCGTGCCGCTACTTGTACGTCTATAATTCACAAAAACAACGATAATTGTGTTAAACTTATTTTATGATAACATTCAGAAGCTGTAATTTTATTGTCATAACTTGTTCCACCGTATATCAATAACAAAAAGATAAACGATAGCAACTAAGTATGTTATAAATCACAACAATCAGACGGGATATTAATAGGATTGACATTTGCTTAAATAATAGGATGAGATAAAACACAGCATTAATATCGGGTAATTTAATATCTCTATATGGTCTACTAATCATCAAATTAAAAATTTGATATTAAGCTCCACTGATAATTTTATAATAAAGCATTTCGTAAATCAAAAACCTAACATTCAATTCAAATTAAGTATTTTTAAGCGTGTAATTTTGGCATAGATTTATTTAGTATAACTGTAGCACTTTTTTCAGAGAGATTTTTTTGGGAAACGGTTCTTAATGACATGGAATATTTACTAGATTTAATAATGGGACGAATAGGTGATGCGGTTAAGGATTGGGTGGGTTTGATGGGATTTTTGAGAGATTGGACAGAATTTGTGGAAATCATGGCAGTTGATGGATTCGGTTTCAAACAGTCTGAAGCAGGTCCGTCTGATTCTGTAGTAACAGCGGCTTCACGTTGACTCAGTTGTTCGTGTTGGAATTCCACTAAAAACATGATAATGTTTTAACTACATCGTAATTTCAGTATGAAAAACTTTGATAAAACATACGTATGATGTGACGTCGGTGTCTATTACATGTTATTATTATTAAAAGGCTTTTAAGTTGGAAATGGTTTCCATTGCTCTTGTTTGTTTTACGTATGTTAGAAATATTTATCGTTAGACGTTTCTAAAAAAAGGAATAACCGATACAAAGTGGAAATTTTATAACTAACTTACTAAATCGCCGCCGTATCGCCGCTTCGATTCTTCTCTCAAATACAGTACCGACCAGCAGGAACATTATAACTGCCATTATCAAAGGACCATAGACCCACCATTCCATGAGGGATTAATTACTATATTTTCAACATTATAATATTATATTATTACGGAAACCATCGAGAGTTGTTTTTACTTTGTTCATGATAGTCATAATTTAAAATACATGGTTTTAAGTATACTGACAGTGTCAAGTTATACCTAAAACCATGACAAACATGTGACAAACACAATATTTATATGTGTACATGATCTGTGTATTTTAAAGAGTAACTAATTTTTTTTTAAATATTTTAATCATGTAGGTTACATAATGTACACTTATGACTCGTCAGTAAAGAAATACATATTAATGCTTCTAATTTTATATTTACTGCCAGTTCTCAAATTTACGGCGTAGAACGGAAGAGAAGAACTGGCAATAAACACTCTGCCACTCTTTTTAATCGCCATTTTTTTTTACATAACGTTTGTAAGGAGCTGCAACCATTACACCATGTTCCACATGACATATCAAGTAATTAATAATAATAACATTAATAATAATAACATTAAAAAAAAACAGAGACTTGTCCTCTATCAGCAGGAGGCATGGTGAAATAGTAGCACGCACTTACATTCTTGTGGGAACAACACGCAAACACATAGTCGAAATAACAACTTTCGACTGCCCCATCAGAGTTGAATTTTATACCTTGCAAGAAGTTATCCAAATTTCTAAAAAAATTGTTATGTGTTGGAGACAGGTCCGGGGAGTACGATGGATGTCTCAGAGATTCCAATTGAAGTTGCTCTGATTTAGTAGCAGTCTGTTGTGCAGTGTGGGGTCTAGCGTTGTCGTGAAGCAGGAGTGAACGATTGAATGTAGTGGGAAAGTTTAATGTAAATAAGGGAGATAGGTTTAATTTTAATCTACAATGGCCGATGCCATATAACGATTTATAAAATAAAACAAGTTGTAAATATATAGCAAAATCGAATCCAATATACCTATTAGTTTTAATGAGCCAACAGTAACTCCAAAAGGGACCTCATTTAAACATTAGCAACACAAATAAGAAAACTTCTTTGAACGGCAAATCACGCGACGGGCAACAAAGCATCGAGGTTCTATTAGCCGCCATAGAAATTCTTGACACGTCCTTCCACAAAAACAATCGACATGCCACAAATATCAACGAAGATTCCAGTCATTTTAATAACGACCTTGAATAACGGATTTTTTGGGAAAATTATTGTCTGTATTCCGACCGTTATAAAAAGTAGCTTAGGATTATATTACCCAAAAAATATAAAGACCTTTCCAGACTACTGGTAAACTATAAAGGTATATTTTAACTCACCAATAGCCATAGATCATAGAACATTAAAGGGCCTGAACGCACTTGCGAGCTTCTGACAGAGTGAGTGTCTATGGGTGGCTATCACTTAAAATCTGGTGAGCCTCCTGTACGTCGGCCCCATCCTATAAAAAAATATAGAAACTGGCAGTGGATTTCAGCAGGAAACAGCGAAATATACATATTTTTTCTACAAACAAATTCACTGTTTTTATTTATATTAGATAACTATCGCTACTTAGTATAAATATAGAACTTTTGGTACTTTTTCTCATTTATTAAGTAAAGCACATCAGAGAACTACTTAATGATTTAACGAATTATACTAGTAGATTGTTTGTGGAATGGCCTCTTGCAATCTAAGTTTATCATTAATGATTAAACTTTACTTAAGCTACTCGATAACGAAATATTCAAGTCAAATCATATATTTATTGCGTGGACATTGCGTTGTTCAGTCGTATATCTGTGGATTACGGCGGACAAGTAATTGATACGTGCAGCGAATGAGTAAGTATATCGATAGAGATTTAGTTATGAGGCTCATTAATAACGTTTGATGAGGATGTAGCGACAAGTACAATCTACGCCTAAAATCACTGCGATGATATCGTGCCCTTTTTAATTGTTTTTATTGAGGGAATCGCATTACCGCACAGAGTGTGCGACTTGCTCTAACAGCCCTACCCACTCAACAGTAACGGGAGGGCCGTTACTGTTGGGGTAACTTAGGGTCGGAGAAACAGCAGCACTTTCCTTCCTCCACATTGGTGACCCCTCAGAAGAACACCCTACTACTGAATTCCGAGAAGCATGACATCATCACTCCTTCCTTCAGAATTAATCAACAGAAGTCACAGCCAGCCAAAGTACGCGAAGTTACAAAAAAAATATAAGTCAAATAGCGTTGCCGACTTATATACTGTTTAACTTTAATTGTCTTTGCTGTGTGCGAGTGTTACACAATTTAATTTCTTGAATAAGTTTAAAAATTAAACATTGAATCTTGGTTATACTTTCCTGTGGGCCTCAAAGTATTAATACCAGTAATAATTCTGAATGCCACAGAATGCCAAATCGTTAAATGACCGCTTTACGACTGATTAAAGAATACTGATAAAATAATTTTTAATGCGAAGTACTCGCGTAACCATAGACAAAACAAAAAGAAGGTAAACGCTCCACGCAGGGCTTTTCAATCACACATCCAAAAAGGTGCATATTCAGCGTGTCGGAGAAATATCTCTTCGTTTTAATATATTTTGACGCCATTATATTCATTTTAAATCTATTACTATTTGATAAAACTGACTATGGCTTAACGTGCAATCACTTAGCTATAACACAGGGAGCCGATGCGGTTAGAAGACGATGTTACATGTGGTGGGCTCGAGAGGTGTCAGATACAATATTAGTTCTATTCCCGAACAACGATTATATTTCTAATTTAACTATGAATACTATATTTCAATACAATTTTAAATAAGATTGTTGATAACGTCTATAAATTGTCAAGTATAAATGATCGATGGAAAATTATATATAAAAATGTTAATTTTATGATATGAAAATGTCAGATATTAGTTTTAAGAATTTTGGTCAATTAAAGCGCCGTATTATTTTTCTTTCACGTTGATTACTGAATTACTTATATAATAAAAGTTTATATTAATATAATAACAGTAACTCGTTCAAAATGTCTGTGTGTATAGATAAACTATTATAGTTACTTAAACATTTACCGGTTTTATCGACCTTACAACTAACAAATAGTAGTTTGTCCTGACAATAGCCCGCGCGAACGAAGCGCTTTTTAATGGCTTGTATTTTGGTGGATTGTGGCCGAAATTAAATTCATTGTGCCAAAATGAGTTCCATTGTTCATTCTATATAAAACAAGACAGGAAAATTATGGAGGGCCGTTTGCGCCGGTCATTCAATACTCAGTGTTACAATATTGTTGGGTTTTCTTTAATGAGGACGCGACTTCCGCGCTACTTAATTCGTGGTTACCCTATTTTTAAGTATTTCCATATTAATCTAGGCTTCACCTGAATTTTTTCGATACTGCCCTGCTCACATAAATATACATTTAACACAAAATTAATTAAGCAAATTTGATGCAATCAAGTGCTTCGGTGTCTAGTAATAATACTGTAACCAAATTCTATTGTTATATATATACTGCTCAAAACAATTAGCGGAACAAGATTTTTCTCCTTTCTATTGCTTAAACTAAAATTAGATTTAAATTAACTTGTACGCTATTTTTTACCTTGTTAATTTGTTAATTACTACAATTAATAAAAAAATTCAATTAGTATTTTTTTTATTAAAAAAAAATTAAAATGTGCATTGTAGACGAAAAACTAATTGGTGATAAAAAAGGTCCATCAAAAAAATATTTTTATATCGTTTGAATATTCGTCTTTAGTGAATTTCAGTAACGTGTGTGGCCTCCATGAGCCCTAATCACGGCTTGACAACGACGCGGCATGCTTCGTATGATCGACCGAATATCTTCTTGTGGAATTCGCTCCCATTCTTCAATCAACGCTTCAGTGAGCTGCTGCAGTGTTTGAGGTGCAATCGGACGCTTCCGGATGCGCCTGTCAAGCAAGTCCCAAATGTGTTCAATTGGATTTAGGTCAGGGCTCATGGAAGGCCACTCCATTACACGGATTTCCTGCTGTCGTAAGTAATCTGACGTGATGGCTGCAGTATGCGGCCTGGCATTATCTTGCATTAAAAGAAAATCTGGGCCCATACCATATGCTGCGGGCCAAACATGATCTTCGAGCACATTTTCAATGTAAGTTTGAGCACACAAGCGCCCGGGAACAACGACGAGATCTGTGCGCTCGTCCAAACTAACTCCGCCCCAAACCATCACAGAGCCACATCCAAATTTGTTATATTCCTGGACTGCTGCTGCACTGTATCGCTCGCCTGGGCGTCTGTAAACACGGAGACGACCATCGCAACGTGTTAGACGGAATCGTGATTCGTCAGTAAAAAGCACTGGCCTCCAATGTCGAAGTTGCCAATTAGCGAGATTTTGCGCGAACTGTCGGCGAGCTTGTCTATGTTGAATTGTTAGACGGACAGCCCGAACTGGTCGGCGTGATCTCAAATTGGCTTCCAACAACCTATTTCTTACCGTCTGGTCGGAAATTTCTACACCAGTAGCCGTCCTTAGTGTATTTTGTAGATCTCTTGCAGTTGTGGTGCGGTTACGTAAAGCACAGTTGACGATGTAGCGATCTTGCAAACGTGTAGTTTTTCTCTTTCGACCACGCCTTCGTGAGTATTCTCCCGTCTCACGGTATCGCTTCCAAAGTCTGTAGATAACAGAAGGGGCTACTCCTAGATCATTTCCTACATAACGCATAGTTCGACCCTCTTCAAGCAAAGCGATAGCTCGGGAGACATGCAATTCAGTCAGATCTGAACTAAACTCACTCGCTTCAATGAATAACAATACTCAAAAGGCTCACTTCAATTTCTATTAATACTCAAAAGATTGAAAAAAACTACTTAAAATGTGTTTTCTGTGATTAGAAAGTAATGAAAATTCAAAGACGTTACTTTGTTTTTCGTCTACAATGCACATTTTTTTTTTTTTTTAATTTGAATTTTTTTATTAATTGTAGTAATTAACAAATGAACAAGGTAAAAAATAGCGTACAAGTTAATTTAAATCTAATTTTAGTTTAAGCAATAG